CAGCAAGTCAGTGTTTCTCATATAGAAGAGCTTCTTCCCTCTGCCTGTGAGGCGAATAACATCTCTAGCTTGTAGACCAGAGCCGTTAAACTGCATGCCAAGTTCGAGGAATCCAAAACCAACATGGTGACACCATTTCTGAAGTCTTCGCTTGACTTCCTCAATGCGCTTCTCCCTCCGATGACCATGGCCTCTAACTGTAAGGATTGAGGAGAAGAGAACTTGTGTTCCTAGTTCCTTGAGCTTTGCACCTGTGGACCTGAAATCACTCATGATTCTCCTGGGGTTGTTTCTTGCCGTGTCATTGGTGCCCGTGTGGACAAGGAGCAGGGGTATTGGTCCACAGGATGGATCAGTTTTGGCATCCTCGCCATTACATCTTGGATCCTGGCTCCTGGGAGACAGCAGATCTCTTGAGTGCAGGGATCTGGACTACAAATGGCACCTTCTGTTCCCCACAGCAAGGAATCTCCCACAACAACCACGCTTCATTGCTTCGTTGGTGGGGGCGGCTGTTCCTGTCCTGTCTTCGGTGTGAAGGATGTGATAGCCTCATTTGTCAATGGTGAGAGGGCTGTGTAGTTGTTGTGTAGGGCTTTTGGTGGAGCAACTGATGCACATTGTGGCTTTGAGCTTGATGTGACCAATTTCCATACACTGTCAGTAGGGGCACCCCTCATGCCTGGTCTTCTGCCTGGTCTCTGTGGCATCCTTCTTGATGTATAGGGCCTGGCAGTAAGCATCAACCTTTTCCTTGTGTTCTCTGATGGTTCACAGTCTGCTTACCTCCCCCTAGAGCTCCCTCACCTGGCCCTCCAGAGTCTCCATCAGCGAGCACATCCCACAAGTGGGAGTGCTTGAACCCCAGATCCCAGCCTGCAGCCATTGTGCCAGGCAGCCTCCACAGCCTGAAGACAAGGGTTCTGTGTGAGTGGAGGCCAGGACCATAGGTAAAGACCTCCAAGGTACCAAGTAGGGGTGGTCCATCCAGATCAGGGAGCCTAGGGGTGCTGCACGTGCCCATCACCATGTTGCAGGGTGGACCCTGTTCACTCGGCTCCTTAGGTGTTGGTTTGAGTAGACCAGGTGGGTGTAATTACCCCCATGTGGTCCTCACCAGCAGCTGTTGCTGTTGCTGCGGCCTGGTAGACAGGCTTAAGTAGTTGCCTGCAAGGGGATCCCCTGGCTTCCCAGCTTCCTGAGTAGCTGGGGGACTACCTGGGTCCCCAATTCCCTCCCTGGAATGGGGAGGGCTGGTCCCTTGTTCCCTGTACCTGAGATCCAGCGTCGGAGGTCTGTCTTTCGGTATAGCGGGGTTTTGATTGCCTGGGGGTGCAACAGGCACAGGGAGTAGTGTGTCTCTCTGCTGGGGGAGCAACCTGGGGCTGAGAATGTCCATTGGTGACCCCTCCATGCACACTCCTGTGCACACTCCCATGCTAACTCATGCACTAGAGTGTCTGTTTGCATGCTCTATTCACACAGCTCCAGTCCCATGACTCCCTGGGGGCTGGGCTGGGCGGGGGGGGGCGGGACGGATGGAGACCCTCCTCAGCTCTGCTCAGCTTCCCCCTCTAGCTACTGCTGCTCACCTTGGGCCCTACTTATCTTCTGACTCTGCATTGGCGGTCCGGTAGGGCTCTGCCAGAGGGGTCTTCTGGGGGGTTTCACTCTTCGGGGTGCAACAGGCTTGCACCTGTGCATCTCCCACCAAGAGCTGGTCCCAACAGAAGAAAATCTTCTGTTGAGACCTTTTAAAGTTTGAAATTTTGCAGCTCGTAGTGAGTCTCGCAAGATCTCGCAGCACGCAAGATTACAGCACGACACTTGCAGGGACCAGCTACCAGCCCCTGCTCTGTCCTGCCAGAGAAAGGGGCCGCTAAGTACTTCTCCAAGCATAAGTACTAGTACTATGCTTGCTCCCTGCCTAGTCCTACAGTGTCGTGCACTGGCCTGGGTTCCAAATGCAGGAAGAGGCTGCATGAGTTGCTGAGCTTGACCAGAGACATGGTGGCAGCAGCTGAAGCGGGGGGTGTGACTGTATTACTCCTTACACCCCCCCTCCCCCCCACCTCCTGATCCACCCGATTATCCATATGCTTTTGTTTACCCACTGACAGCTCTGTATCATCTTTGTCTCTAAATGAGTTGGTTCATATACAGCATCACAGTTAAAACACAGGAGGTCTTTGGTTTGGATCTTAAGGTTATAGGTTCAACCTTCATGCTACTGACCCATACAGGGTTGAAAAAATACACATGTATGATTGACAGTTTAAAAACCTTACAGTAATTTTTGGAATTATTTTATAAGCAAAGCTTCTAGTAGCCAGTGGTAAAGAGGTATGCAGGAGTTTTTTCCTTTTTTTCAAACCTTGGTGTTTTCCATTACTGTAACATTGAGTTACAACTATAGAAAACTCATCTTTACTCAGAATGAAATCCTGTTACAAAGAGTGATTTGGGTAACCTTCATTTAGATCATAAAATCTGAATGATCACCACAGCCACATCCATAAAACAATTCATGGGAACTTTCATATAGGATGAATTAAATGGAAGCAAAATAGGCATCTTGCAAGGACAGAGCAAATGCTCCTAGACCTTTTCATTCTCAGGTATGTCAGTTGGATTATAATTGGCTCTAATTAGCATACTTTCTCCAGCTATGAAATTCTTTACCTTGCAGCTCAGTGCCACTCAAAGATGTGAGATTCCTTCCTACCTTTGAAAACATCAAAGAAAGAGCTTCGAATCTAGTCTTTATAGCTGAGTGCTGAGTGATCAGTGCAACTAAGGGATAAACACAGCAAGCATAAGAAATCATTTTTAGAAAATTAGTTTTGATCTCTCTAGTCAAGTGATCACTTCAGAAGTCGTTGAAACTAGATTTCATTGTCAATAATAAAACCCCAAATTGTTACTAATAAAACCAACACATTTCTAATGCTGTCCTGTTAAGTAATACTAAAATTTTGAATGTATTAAAGATCACATTAAGATTTGTAGTCATACTCTCTGTGTCACTGAGTGTGAGAAACACTTGGACTGTTTCATGATCCAGTCTATTCAGTATTTATAATTTTGAAGTAGTTTAAGCTTTTGATTTCATTTTTTTGGATGTTGGAAATTCAGGAATCGGTGTAATTTGATATCTCTTATAATGAATTAATATTTTATCCGTTTAATTGTTTATAAAAAATACTTTATTTGTAAAGAACTAATAGAGGAGTTCCTTCAGATAGAACTATGTGGTATAATGTATCTGATGTTAAATGTAGATACCAAATGACAGGCTTCATGTCACTTACTTCCTCCTAATTATTATAGGCATATTGGTAGTAATGCCTGTAGGTAAGACTGGTTAATTTTCCTTTATCAGCATTTTTTCAGGGGCTTAGAAATTTGCCAGACGGTAACAGTTTGAGATGAATTTTTTTTATGTTACTCTGTGCCTCAGGGTGATACTTAATTTTCAAGGAAAAGTCACTTCTGAGAATTAGGAAAGAGGAGTAGTTTTGTCTATTTCATCTATAAATTCTAGCACAATTTGCTTAGCAAAACCTATTGGAGGCTTGATGGCAAAATTTATAATATGCCAAATGAGCCAAGCATACTATACTGCAGCATCATAGAAGTTAATACAAATGACCCATATTGTACCAGACTCTTTGATTCTCTTGACCTTCTTACAATAGACATGGAGATATAGGGATCCATATCAGGAGGGATGAAGAAGAAATAACCACTCCTTTCCCCCATCCTGCTATTTTGACCTAAGGGATGGGACGGTGGGAGAGTCAGGAAGAGATGAGTTGTAGCTTCACTTCTTCCATTCCTTGGTGCTAATTTTATGCTCTTCCCAGCCCTTATAGCAGGTAGCCTCGTGCTCCTTACAGAAAATTAGGTGCATATATCATGCAGCTATTTTCAGAAATGTTTGCCCCACTAGCAGTGTGGGGTTGGGAGTAGTGAAGACAGTTCATGAGAGAAAATCTTGGCTAGAAAGTTTATTGAGATGGTGTTACTTGTGCCCCCTCTGTCTCCTACCACTTTGCTTCTGATGGGTGGGGCTGCTGCTGAATCATTTCTGTACGCTACCCCTTTCTTCTTCCCATTCTTCACACTGCATAGTATGGGGATAGAAGAAGTTGGTCTTCAAATGCTGGGCCTGAAAAGTTGGCCATTCCAAGCTGTTGGGTGACAGGCTTGATAAGTAGCTGGGTGACTGTCTTCCCTGTGGTGGAGAGAGGAATTACTGAATAGAGTGCGTGCTTCCCAGGCAGGCAGTTCTTAGCTACATTGATTGAGGCCTGTTTGGAATTAAGGATATCAGATTGTGTATCTGATATCCTTAATTCTATTTCCATATCACCTTGTGATCTATATTCATGTGGTTTTCCATGATAAACTTTTCTGGGTTGTTTTCCTTAGTTCACTTTCAAATTACATAGAAAAACAACATTAATGTTTCAAATACAGCTTTCAAAATTAGGAAACATCATAATATAGTTCTTTAACTTGGATATTTTTATATCGGTATTTATGATTCATAGATATGTGATCATATGTTGTTTATTTTGCATGATCTTAGCTTCATCCAGTGCGCAGGGTGGGTAGTAAATGAGGCAAATGGGTGTAAGAGGAAAAACATTGCTCTTTTGTAGTTAGGCAGGCTGTGACATAGGAGAGCTAGGTTTTCTCCCTTACTCTTTGTCAAAGCCAGTGTTGAGATCTAGGCTGTGATACTGAGCAGGATTGACAAAATACATATGGCAAGTAAAGTTGCACAGGATACTTATTTTGGCATTTCCTTTAACCATAAAATCTTTGAGCGCTTGATAAGGATGGTTAAAGTCTGGTCATGAAAAAGCTCCCGCTGAAGGTGATACGAGAAGCTACTTTTGAAGTCTAAATTTAGACCCATAGAATTAAAATGTCTGTCTGCTACTGTACTTGTTGTTGTTTTAATTATAAATGTGTGTGTTTCTTTTTTACAGTGTTATGTGGGAGCCAATGGGAGATGGTAAAAAGCTTATTTCACTGGCTGATAATCACTTATTATTGTGGGATTTGCAAGAAAGCTCAAGCAAGGCAGTGGTAAGAAATATTACTTAAATTATGATATGGCTGAATATGACACATGGCAGTTGTCAGATTGGTTATCTTCTAACTAGTGTTTTGAGGATTTTTGTGTTCGTATTTCTACTAACCTTAAAACTTAGGCTAATTCAGTATAGCCAGTAAACTCAAGCATATTTTAACGCCTGTACTAGTTAGAACTTAATATGTTGATATTGCTGTAATGTTGGTATGAATTGAATGTGATAATTGCATAGTTACAGACCTCTTGCCTTGTTTTACATCTCGGACATTAAGCTCTGTTGTACTGTTTTGTAGCTGCAGATAATGCCTAGGAAGGTTTTTGGAGTTGAATAGGCCAATTTAGGTGGCATTTCCCCCCATTGTTCTCCAAAGAGCAAGCCTGTTTTTTCTTGTTTTCTTGAATTGACACCCAATGACCCAAGGTGCCAGTGAACCCCATTCCTCCTTGAGAGCTCTTTCAGTTATAGTCTGGTGAATAGGTGTGAACCAAATGGCATAGAAGGACAAGAACTGCCATACCGTATCAGGAATCCATGAAGTCCAGTGGGATGTCTCTGAAAGTTGCTAGTATTGTAGGTTTCTGAAGAAGGTGTCAAATCATGCAGCAGTTTAATGTGGGATACCTGCATGTTTCACATGCCTGTTTTCATCCCTGTTTCAGTAGGTACAGGTTGGTTTGAATGCAGAAGCATAAAGTGTAAATTGTTTCCATAACTTTTGATGTCAATTATAACTCTGACATTCAAGTAAATAGCTAATCTGTGATAGAATTGTGTTGCATCCAAGAATTTAACTGTGGTAATGAGTAATTACTCCTAGTAATATGCTCTCAATCGGTCATGTCTTCTTTAGACCACCTTAATGCTGCATTGTTGTTTTAAAATGGGTTGACCAGTACACTGCAGTATTTTCCAGGTGAAGTTGTCATTAATTTATAGGGCATTATAATATTCTCTTTAATACTCACCATTCCTTGTATGTCCTAACTTCTCTGACTACTGCTGCATGATGTGCAAAGATGTCTTTTGAGCTGTCTGCAATGACAGTCAGGTCCTCTTCTTAATTAATGCAGTTAATTTAGAACCTTCTTAAGTGTAATAGTAGTTTAAATTTAACTATCCAATATGCATCACTTTTCCTTGATCAGTCTTGAATTTCATTTGTCATTGTTTTCCCCTTTCAGATTGTACATAGGTCTTTGAAGTTCTTTATTGTCATTTCAGATCCTGACTAACCTAAGTAACTTTATCCCCCTGCATTTATTGCTACCTCACTACTTTTCCCCTGTTTCAGATAATTCATGTACTAAATAATGTTGAACCTATTACATGGATTTCAATGGTAATCATTTGCCATGATGAAAATATTAAACCTTAATCTTACTCTTTGTTTTGTGCCTCTTAGCCACTTTTTGACCATGCACTGGTTTGCCTCATCCCATAGTCTCGGGGCTTTTTGTGGCTTCTTATGTAGGACTTTGTCAGAATCCTTTTGGAAGTCTAATAAAATTATGTGGAACACTTCCTATTTGTCCACTAATTCACTGACATGTTCAAAGAAATGTAAGAAATTAGTGAGATGTGATTTTTCTTTGTCTCTTTGCAAAAATAATAGTGATTAAGACCTTATCACACTGTGATCTTCTTAGTGTTTTGATTTCTTTTTAATGATTGTTTTGAACAATTTGATATAATGTCTATGGGCTGTAATTCCAGATCAGTTCTATCTTAAATATCAACTGTTAATTTAAATATAGATACAGCATTTGCCACTCCCTACTCCTCTGGAAGAGTGATTGTTTTAATGAGTTGTTGTATACTTTATTAGAATATATTACCTTTTTATATGATTGGTTTGTTGTATCATCTTTTTCTGACACCTCTCTCTGACAATGCCTCATCTTTAAGTGTCATCCTTATGTTCTTGATTATCATTTAGTTCCTCAGTTCTTTTCTGAATTGTTTCCTTTAACTCGAGTGATTCAGCAGACCCACTGATTCTCTTGCAGGTATAATACTTCTGAAATACTTACACTTGTTTGTTTTTTTACAACTTCATTTGTACAGTGAAATTCATTTTTGACCTTTCTGATTGTTCTTTTATTCTAAGGTACAAACAGACCTTAGAAAAAAATTTTCTTTGGACAAATTGCAATTATTTAGACATCTATGTCCGTTGTCCTGGAACAAACCCTAAAAAGGTTAGTAGAAGAAGAAACACTAACAGTTTGTCCTGGGACATAGCAAAGTGCATTTGAATGGAGGTCTCAGGACTTTATTGTTGACTCAATGGCAGAAAACCAGCCACTCGCTAAGACCCTGATTGGAAGGGAAATGTATGTACATGCCAATCCTGTGACTTTTGTGATCCAGGACAAACACAGGCACAACTCGTCCCAAGAAAAATGTTACCCCTCTTCCTAGCACTATGATCTATTATAATTTGTTCCTATTTGTTGATTTCATTGGGGTCAGATGAGTATTTAGAAATATTTCTGTGTGGCTTGACTAACGTCTGAAATGGAACTTTTTAGTGACATTAGTTTCCTTCTGGTCTTCCTGGTTCTTATTCTGTTCCATGGTGCCTCTGTTTTCTGAGATTCAGTTTTTAATTAATATCTTCGCCACCTGTAAGAATTTTACTTTTAACTATAGGGTCTTGCTATATTTCCAAAGTTAAGTAACACTGTGTCACTTATAGGTAGCTTGTGCGTCCATTGGAAGGGTTGAACGCCATTGTATTTTGGTTATTATTATCGAGTGCCTCAGCTATATTTGTATCATGAATTAACTCATGTCTTGCTTAAGACTGAATAAAGAAAAGCTACTGTTCTTTTGTGCTCAGAACTAGGTACTCCAAAATCAATCATTCAGTGTCGAAACTGTTTCTCTAAATGTTGTCCTATTATGTTATTTGACCAGTTAATATGTGAATACTGGAAATCACTCATTATCACCACTTGGTTAGAATTCACCGTCTCCTGGCAGAGAACAGAGATTGGTTGGCAAATCTCTGTTCTGTGATTTTTAATTAGATACACTATTTCTATATTTCTTGCCTCGTTTTTCTAAATTCCTCTTACATAACACTCTGGAGAACCCCTGTTGAGAAACTGTATTTTTGGAATAAAGTCTGCTTGTAGGCTATAGCTCTTCTGGTCTGTTTTGAAGTACTGGTTTCTTTCAGGCTGTTAAGCATTTCCTTCTCCTCGTTCCTCCCTTTGGGCATCCATGTCTTTCCTTGCTTAAAGTTCTTGTGAATGTTAATTAGACTTCACTGTCCTGACCACTGTCTCAGTCATAATCTCAAAGTTACCATATTTCTCCCTATTTGTAACCTGTATCAAATACTGTTTCCTTTGGGGTACTGTCCAGATTGTTACCAGTCATACTTTCTTAATTAAAAAGATGTTATAATGAATGTAAAGTTCCTATTTTTTCCTCATTTTATTTTGTCAGGGGTTTAGTTACTAAAATTTGCTTTCAGTAAAACATCTTACATTTACTGTTCATTGCCTCTAAATTAACATCCTTTCTCTGGCATGCAGACATTTGTGAACGTGTAATTATGATTTCCAACTCGTCTCCAATACTAGTGTTGGAGTCTAAGCATAATTTTCAAGATGAGTATGCTTTTCCCCATGACTGTCTAGCTGGTTGAGCCATAACAAAGCTATTTAATCTCAGCATAACTTTGGAAATCAATACTTATATCCTTAAAGTTTTTGATTCAAAAGATTGCTGATCCTTCAGTATTTCAGCTAGTGTTGCTTACCTAGCATATTTTATAAATGTTATTACTTTCAAAATATTCCTGTAGTGTATCAGATATTGATGGAAGAATAAGGGCTTCAGGAGGCAAGGTCAATGGTAAAGGAACTAAGTAGATGTGGCCTATGACATCAGTTTTGTGCCTGTTCTTGAAAGTCTGAATAACCCAAATTAGAGTCCGATGAAATCTAATGAAGAACCTAAGATAAAATTCCATGGAAAATAGTATGTCAGCGCATGACTGATTTGTTCAGTTAGGACCATGAAGGGATGTAGATATGGTAGAGGCCAGCAATGTGTTTGCCTCTGGATACCATTTGCTCAGGGACCACTGAATGTCCTATGGCAGGGGTTTTCAACCTTTTTGCATCATTGTACCCCGCCGGTGGCCAGATGTGGAGCAGTGTACCCCCAGCTGCTGGCGGGGGGTGGTGAGCATCTGGACGCAGAGTGGCTGGATGCGGAGCAGTAGCAGCCGCCACATGTGAGCTTCCGCTGCCACCATGCAGGCACGCCTGTGCAGGATGCTGCGTGGCAGCACTTTGCCCCCTCCCACCCATGTATACCCCCTAGGGCCGCCTTAAGTACCTCCAGGGGTATGCGGACCTCCGGGTGACAACCCCTGTACTATGGGATGGGCTCACATACAGGGGAGTGCCTCAAAATTTTATGCTGCCTCTACCAGTAGCCATCTATACCCCTAGGACAATTTGGTATGGCTTGTGCAACAGCCTTAGTTTGAAGAGGTCAGCGATGTCACTTAGATGTTGTTGGCTGTTTCTCAAGAAGGGCAATGCAGGATTATATCGTCTCTTAAATATTTGTCTAAAGTAATCTGATATCTTGGGCTTGAGTACATTATTTATGTCCTGTAATCTTTAAATGCCAATTATTTGTGACTAAGTCTTCCCTCACCCTCTCCATGGGAACTAGAGTTCTGCCATGATTAATCTACCACCCTCAGCAGTTTTCTAAGCGTCTTTCACTCAGGTGGCATTTACTACTTTAGTGAATAATATTTACTTTTAGAAGGGGCGGTTTGCTTGTTAGCTTACTCTTGAAGGCTTGACTCAAACTTATATCTCCCACACACTTAAGATTTGTCCTGTTATATTCATTGTTAGAAAAATTGGTGTTTTCATCTTGTTTGATTTTGCCTGTTTAAATTAAATATGGCATATGTAACCAACTAATTGCTATAGTTAATGAGTCCAGTGGTATGAG